TATTATTTACGCTAGACGTAATTCGACCACTTGAAATAATATAATTCGACTTTGTGCAATAATTCTTGATGTAGAATTATTGATATGAATTGCTTTAGCTTTGTATTGATAATTCCTGATGGGGAATTATCCTTTGTATAAATATTCTGTAAAATTATATTATCTACGCTAGACGTAATTCGACCACTTGAGATAATATAATTCGACTTTGTATATAATAATTCTTGATGTAGAATTATTCTTTGTTTTTTTTTGGACTTGAATTTATTTTATTTTTTACTAGGTGTATGTGCCTTAGTGATTATATGCCAAGTCTCTCGTATAAGAAAATTGCGCGTATTATATACCCATTCGACCGAGCTTTTGTGTAGCGTATCATTTTATTTACAGCTGATCTCACGTAATTCTTGTTTAATTTTTGCCGTTTTGATTTTCTATTTCGTGTTTGTGCGGTACTCAGCTTGTGCATTTAACTTCTCTTTAAGCTTCTCTTACGGCGAATATTTTTGGCAGTTCTTGCTTTCTTATGTTAACGCTGCTTTGTTTTGATTCTTACAAAACGTGTTTTAAAACTACATTCGGTCGGTGGTGGTTTTATTTATTTTGTTTGTTACGATAAATAAAATGCAAATTTAATAAAAAATTAAAAATATAATTAACAATAAATAAGGTGAGTTTATTATTTATTTATTTAATTATATTTTATATTTCATTTCAATATCATTTCAGATTAGTTTAAGACGTTATTAAGGCTTGCAAGCGGTTTGGTTTTTGGTAAATTGTTTTGAATAAATATTTTAAATATTAATTAATCTATTTAATTCCAGATATTTGCAACATTTATCACCAGTGAGTCTACTTTTCCAGGTTTAAATATAAATATAAAAAGTGTGTCGTTTTGTAAAAGAAAACTGTGTTGTATTGATGAGTTTTAGTTCGTGTTGTTATTGTTTTTAGTGCACGTTTATGTAGGTGGAAATTTAGTGTAAATTTCCATCCTTACAGGGTATGAGGTTTTGTTCAATATCACCTTTACTTGAAACTCTTTTTTTTTTTGTTACAATGAACGTTTTTTAACTACTATTCGGTGTGAAACAAATAAGGTACCCAGAAGGTGTACTAGAAAATATAGTATGATAAAATTAATTTTGCGTGTTATTTTTGGGAATATTTCGTTTCCACACAAGAAGATAAAATACAAAATAAAATATAAAATAAATAATGTGTTGAATCATCAACACGTTTAATAATGGTAATAGTTTGTCGGTTTCCCACTAGTCCTTAATTTAACTTAGGTTTAATTACTAATTCTTTGTATGACAATAGTTTTGCAAATTAATTTTATTTAACTTCGACATAATTTTATATTATTACCGACTTTATCAATCTTTAGTTTGAAACTGTTTCCTTTTCACAAATGCGGTTCGAATTTTTACTAAAGCGAGTGGAATTTAGACATCACAAAACAACTCGAGAACAGACCAACTATTCTGCGTCGTCTACCACTTCGATTAACAACTATTAACTCCTCTTAACTACTATTAACTACTCTTGCTCAAAATTTGTCAAAATTTGAACTTGTCTTATAGGTATACCTAAACTTGATGCAATAGTTTACTTTGCTAAATTTGCAAAGTTTTAATTTAAAGAATGCTCTACATATTTTTGCAATTCATCCATATTCTCTAATTTCAAAGTTATTTACATCATGAAACAAATTATTAAACCGTTAAACCCACGGGCTGATGTTTTAGCTTTAGTTAATATCTGCCAAGTTGCAAATATCTTTGCCTATATTTAGGGAAATGTACGTACAATAGGACATTTACGTTTAAAGACGTGCTGTGGCGGAGTTCTGCTTTTTTTCTTATTAAATCTGTGTTAAAAGTTAATATAGTGAATATAATTCACTATTGTGTTCAAATAGAGAGAGCAATAATTATTATAAATATAAAGAAAAAGCAGCGAACTAGTGTTATTAAAAAATTACCCCGTAGTAAAAATTTAATACTCATTGAATGTTTGTAAGACACTGAATTTATTTTTAAAAATGAACTGCTTATATAGTAACTTAAAACCTATCCTTATCACTAAATGCATGATATTGGTTTATCTCTCAAATTAAAGATACAAAATATTTGATCATAAAATAAACAAAGAAAATATTCTATCCTAAATATACAAGTAATTTGAGCATGCGTAAATAAGCAATTTGAGCAGACAAGAAAATACTCTATCCTAAATAATCAAGTAATTGTTATCTTCTTGTGCGTTGGTGGTATTTTGCTTACATGAATGATAAGCAATTTAAACAACCACCACTGCTAATGTGCACGGATTTCTTATCCTAAATACATTAAAAAACCAATTTTATCATGCCTAAATAAAAAATAGCTAAATAGTAAAGGCCGCAGAGTTTTCCTTAAGATAAGAATGTTGAGAAAATTTATTTAAATTTGAACATTCTGTGGCCCGCCAAAATGTAATAAAATATTTTAGTACTAGGTTTCTTGTGGTCGACGAATAATAATCACATTCGCCTTCCCCTTTAACAAACATTTTCTTATAAAGTAAACTAGGATAATCATGATAAATATACATAAAATACTTAATGATATATGTCCAGTTGCGTGATGGAAGTGTAAACCTTTCAGGGTCCAATCTTCTGCTTGGATGCGGTGAATCTGTTGCTTAATCTTAATGATGTCTTCTTTATGATCGATTAAGTGTGAATTTAATGGCTTCAATAGATCAGCTGATGTATCTTGCATATCTTTTATCAATTGTATACCAAAATCCCCTTGAGTTGATACATTGTTATGATTGCTTGCTGGTATTTGCGTCTTTTCAATTTGGCCAGAGCACCCTGATTGCAGTATCAACAGACCCTGCTGTGGAAGTGAAAACAGGTCTTGATGCTTCTGGTCACAAAATACGTGTAAAGTAGCGTTTAATGATGCCCTAAAAATCCATTGCCGACGATTATTTAGATTTACCCACATATGTTTGTTACTGGCCTCTACAAACTGGCATACAATCGTCTTATGTGGTTTCAAAGGAGATACTTCGCAGGAGTTATCGTTTGCATCTTGCCATGCCCAAGTCTCTTCACATAGATATTGTCGGTCAGATATGGTTTTACATTGACGCCACTCCAATTCAGACATTAAATGGTAAACATCACTCTCGTGACTGTAGACTAGGTAAGGTTGAGCTATGGACGCCACTACGTTCGTATCGCCATGTTTAACCGGAACTGGAACTACCTTAAAAATGTTGGAAAATTTTATTGTAATCAGAGGAATTTGTATTTTGATAACTAGCTTGCTGTTCACAATTATTGCTTCTCCTGTTAGAAGACGGATAATTGTGGCAATTTGATTGGATGTATCACCAGGTAATTTCATCTTCTCTGGTAGCCATGCTTTTATTTTTGCAATTTCCAAGCTAAGTTGTTCCGGTCTTAACAGAACTGAACTAATTTTTCCATGATTAACATCTATTAGTAGCCTTAGCACTTGAAATTGAATCTTTCCTATTTCTTGTAGTTGAGCCTCCATCTAATTTGCGACTGCCATAAATTTAATGAACTCTTTATAGACAAAATATTGTTCATTTGTGATATCGATCATGCTGTCAACCTTTTCCTGAATTTGCTTATAACCTTCGTTTACTTCGTTGGTGGTTTTCTGTAAAACATTTATCGTAGCATTAACCAATGAGGTTTGATTGCGAAGCAGGTTTTCAATCTTGAATTGGTTGCTTAAAAGATTTCTCATGTCGTGTTCTAATTCTTCACGATCGTCATTGTCCATTAATCCAAACAGTAGGTGGTATATGGAACCAACAGCATTTAAAAATCTCTTGATACGATTATTGTCTTTTAAGCCAAATAACTTATTATTGGATTTTACTTCGACAATTTTATGTTTCATTCTTATCAGAGTTTCTTCACAATGATATCTCAACTCTCCAAGTCTACCACATATCTGCCAACTACGCTCAATTAAATCTGTTAGCTGCGAAACTGATGCTATATATGTCGTTAAATCGTAATAGACCACCATGTTCCATTTTGAAGATGTAACATCCATTTTACCTAAGTGATCTAAATAAACCGCTGTTCCTTCATTAAATGGAGATATTATTGTTTTTGTTGTGTTTTGTACCGCTGCTACTTGACCAAACACCAACAAGAACATTGCTAGAAATACTTTGGAGATGTTCATTTCTGGTTTCTTAGATGCTCCCTTTAACTTAGAACCGATATCTGGATCATGATAAACATCTAAAGGACATATTTTTGTTACCGGTCTTTTTACAATGGTATCTTGCATCTTAACTGTAACAACTCGAGTTTTGCCATCCGTACCATTATGTGTTTCAATCATTTTACCCAAAGGCCATCTAGCTGGTGATGTGTTTTCATCTTTGATAAGAACTACCTGATCCTCTTTTATATTTGGGGCAGAATGCTTCCACTTGCGACGATGTTGAAGACTTGCAAGATATTCATTTTTCCATTTATTCCAGAAATCACCTTTTATTTTCTGAATTATTTTCCACCGATTAAGAGAATCAATTGATTTTGAACAACTTTCCTCTGGAATATCAATTAAAGGTCTTCCAACTAGGAAATGGCCGGGAGTTAAAACATCAGTATTCTCTGTATCATCTCGTACTTCACATAACGGTCTAGAATTTCCACTTTAATTAACAGTGTCGACATTTCTTCATAAGTTAATTTCACTTCACCCATGACTCGTCTTAAATGATGTTTCATCGACTTGACTGCAGCCTCCCAGATTCCTCCACAGTGAGGACCTCTCGGGGGAATAAAATGCCATGTAATTTTTTCCGCTGCCATCGTCCCAGCAAGTGATGAAAGTTTTCTAATAGCTTTTTCATATTCATCATCTATTTTCTTAGCAGCACCGACAAAATTTGTACCATTATCTGAATATAAATGCGAACTTTTGCCTCTTCTACCGAAAAATCTTCTAAGGGCAGCCAGAAACGCATCTGTTGACAGGTCACTTACAGCTTCTAAATGGATTGCTTTCGTAGCCATACAAATGAAAACGGCTATATAACCTTTATATGATTTCTGACCTCTTCCTTTCGATACTCTCATTTGTACGGGGCCTGCATAATCTATTCCTGCATGCTCAAATGGCTTCGATATTGACACTCTGCTTTCCGGTAGGTTCCCCATTAACTGTGTAGCGGTTTCACGCCTATATTGTATACATCTAACACGGCTTCGAACATACCTTTTAATAATATTTCTAGCATTAATTATCCAATATTGCCGCCTCAACATATTTTCCATTAGTTTTATACCGCTATGTAGTGTAGTTTTATGATAATCATCAACTATTAGCATCGTTAAGTGACATTTTGGTAATAGTATTGGATATTTTCTAGCAAAAGAGAATGGAGAATTTTCTAACCGGCCTCCGACTCGCAGTATTTCATTTTTATCCAGAAACGGGTAAAGACTACAAATTTTATAACCAGATGGAAGTTCTCTTCTGTTTTTGATCAAATTGATTTCTTTTGTGAAATATAAATGTTGAGTATGCCGTATTATAATATTTTCTGCCTCCCTTAATTCTTCTACTGTCAACCACACAGGAAACTTCTCCTTTTTTAGCTTTCTGATGAATCTGCTTATATATGCAATGACGTATAATAATTTCCTATAATTGGAATACCGATCTATTATATCGTTGATTATGTTCTGTGAAGAGTTTATATTATTTGTTGCACAAAGAACAGATTCAGTTGCTGTTGGCCAGTTTGATTCATCCTTTAACCATGTAGGACCATTCCACCATAAACTATGTGCTGCAAGTTTTTCTGGTTTCAAGCCCCTTGAAGCCACATCCGCTGGATTGTCTTCTGACCTAACATGATTCCACGTTGCCGAAGGCATGCATTGCTTGATTTCTCTTACACGAGTCCCAATAAATTTATCTTTAGTTTTATTTTCGTTCTTGATCCATGGTAATGCTATTGTTGAATCGCTCCAAGCATATATTTTGACTTCTCTGTTCATAACTTCTTTAATGCTTTTCATAAGTTTTCCTAACAGATGAGCCCCACATAACTCCAGCTTGGGTAATGTCTTTTTGTTTTATATCGGATTTACTTTAGACTTTGCTGCTAGCATAGTAATAGCATTAGAAGTTTTAGCATAAACTACTGCTGCATAAGCCTTCTCTGAAGCGTCCGCAAATCCATGAAGCTCTAAACTTGTGTCAGCTAAAGTTGATATCCATCTAGGAATTTTTATATCTTTAATAGTCGAAATCCTTGAAACAATCGCATTCCATTCGTGAGATAATTTAACGTCTAACTTCGTATCCCACGTCAAGTTCATAAGCCATAATTTTTGTATAAATAATTTCGCCATTGTTGTTGTTGGTGTCAACCTTCCAAGTGGATCATAGATTCGAGCCAATATAGACAGTGCTTTGCGTTTAGTTATGTTAGTACTATTTTCGCAAATGAAATCCAAACTTTTCTAGCTGCCGACTGATTTCAAATTGAATGTTTACACATTCTTTTATGGAGTCCGCACCTGTCATCAAATCATAAGCATCTTTTAGTAAAGCTCTTTTTGCCAAGAACGGTGCACAAGAAGTTCCATAGGTTACTGTTTTCAGTACAAATTCTTCTATTGGTTTTTCTGGATCTTCACGCCATAGGATAGTTTGGTACGGCTGATCTTCTTCTGCTACCAACACCTGCCGATACATTTTTTCTATATCAGCTGTCATAACGTACTTCCACAATCTCCACTTGATAAGTAGCTGAAATATGTCCAACTGTAGCTTAGGTCCAGTGTGTAGTATTTCATTCAAGCTTTTTCCGTTAGTAGTTTTTGCTGAAGCATCAAATACTACCCGAACTTTTGTTGTTGAATGGTCATCTCTTATTACAGCTTGATGAGGCATATAAAATTTACCAAATATCATTTTAGAAACTTTCTGCATGTGACCCATTTCCATATATTCCTTCATGAACTTGATATATTCTTTTTTTAGCTTAGAGTTTCTTTTAAATCTTTTTTCCAAACACAAAAGCCTGGCCATAGCCATTTTCCTAGAGTCTCCTAGTTCGTTTTCTTTTTCAAATGGTAATTTTACGATAAATCTGTTTTCCTTATTTAGCGTTGTTGTTGATTTAAACCATTTTTCACATTCTTTATCAGTTTCATTTATTTCAGGTGCTTCACAAACTTCTTCAATTTCCCAAAATCTCTCAATGTTTGAAGTAACTGCTGATATTATAGTTTTAACTGTATTGTTTGTGTTGATAACTCCAGATAATATCCAACCAAGGGAAGTTTCTTGACCTAAGATTTTACCCCATTTTCTCAAACCCGGCTGCAATATCTCGGTAAGGATATCTGCTCCCAGCACTATATCTATGCGGTCAGATTTATTAAACATAGGATCAGCTAAACAATAATTGTCCCATTTTTTTAAATCTTCATTAAACGAATTATTAGGTTGTGCTGATGTTAGCTTGCTAAGAACCATAGCTTTAATTTTGTAACTGTTATTGCTTTTAAATCTTGGACGAATTACGAGTTCTACTGTTGATTTTGATATTCCTACTAATGTATTTCCTAATCCAATCAGATCTGTTTTTGATTTAGTTCTATGTAACCTTAATATTTGTGCTGCTTCCTCTGAAATTGATGTCCTCTGTGAACCTTGATCTAGCAGCGCTCTTAACAAAACCTTTTCACCACTTGCAGAATCCGCTTGAATCTGTGCTGTTGCTAATAAAGTAATTGCACTATTTTCTTTGGTAATCATGCTTGCAGCTGCACCAGCACTAGTTTGTGGTTTATTTTGCATAATTCTCTGAAAGTGTAGCATACTGTGATGCTGTCCTCCACATTGCTCACACTTTTTATCCAGCTTATAGCATTTCTTGTCATTTTTGTGTGCAAAACATATTTTACATAACTTTGTTTTATTAATCCAGAAGTTTTTACCACTAACCGATAGCTGAGTAAACTTCCGACATTCAATAACAGAGTGACCTACTGTGTTACAAAACATATATTGTTTTTGTGAAATTTGAAACACATTTGTCGATTTTATTTTTTTGTCTGTAATATTTCCTTTTTTGCAGCCAACCGATTCGAGAGCTAAATATTGTTGCTCTAAAAATGTCATAACATCTTTTACTGTTTGAATTTCTTTTGTTTTTTGAACGCATTGTTCATACCTCAGCAAACCTTCTTTATCCAGTTTTCGTATGAGAATTCTTGCTATAAATGGATCTGCATCCTCAATTGGTATTCCCATAGCTTTTATAGCTTGATATGATTCTGTTGCAGTATCCAGCAACTGTTTAATACTTGCAGCATTTTGTATATTAACGCTGCTATGATCAATGATTCTATCAAATAGCGTACAAAATAATAGCCTTCTGTTATTATACCTATGCTCTAATATTGTCCATGCTGCATTGTAGTTTTCTCCTGTTACTTGAAGATGTTGAATTAGCCGTGCAGCATCCCCTTTTATGGCGTTTT